ATTGTTTAAATATGTTCCTCGAAGAAGGAAAAACAACACTGTTGAAGTTCTATAGGAGACCGTAAAAAAATCACTACTACAACTGCTTGAAAAGTAAAAGTAATGATTTGTCAGGAGCATAGTAATCTTGCAAATGATCATCCAATACTTCAACTATCTTCAAAAGAAGTTGACTGCACGGCGCATTTCGAGCAGACTTATTAAACACCAAGTGTTTACCTTTTGTCCTTCTGTTGAACGTATCTGTTACAAAATTTTGTCAAGGATTCTTCTTCTCGAATTCTCGGATTCCTCTCAACCCGTTGATTTGATCAACCAGTTTCTATACAAATATTCCGTACATACACAAGTCGAAGTGATCTTCTGTTACTCGCGCCGGTATTGTAAATGTATAGCCGTTTCGTTGTAATACGAGACTTTGAATGGCCAGGTGTGTCTTCCTCGGGCTCAATGGGAAGATGCGGGATTGGATATGAGCCACCGACTTGAACAGAAGCCACCTGAAAAGTTTTTGCAATTTTCAAGTGCTGTATTGAAACCTATTCAACTAGTCAGGATTTACCTTCTTTTGACATAGCGTTTGAGTCCACTTGTTGCGCATTCTCGCCCGTTCTTCGAACTTCTCGTTCAACATCTTTCTCCTTGAAATAAGAAAAAGAGGTAGACATGTATCAGGCGGAAGTGGTGTAGTGACAAGTGGCGCGCTTACCACGCGAGCGGTCCGGGGATCAAATCCTGGGTCGTGAGTCGCCCGGGCCAACCAAGCCTTCCATCCCTCCGGGGTCGGTTAATTGGTACCAGACTTGTCTGGGAGGATAAAAACACTGACTTGTACATCGGCTGGCCCCCGCAAGTCATTGTATATAGGCCACATCGCATTCAAACGCCACTGCGAATGTACAAATGGAAGTAGAATGCGTGCCGCATCCCAAAAAGGGATTGATCAACGGCCAACAAATCAGCTCACTTGTTTTCTTAATTAATTCTCCATAATCCAAAATAAGAAGTGTCTCGCCCTTGTACAGAAATAAATTACAATTGATAACGTGCCGTCGACTACGCGATATGAAAGCCGAATTCCGGTCAGATGCAGCAGTCATCTGTCAGATGTGCAACTTTTAGCGATATTGCAAAAATCCCAAAATTCTTCCCTTCTTTAGCATTTCCCCTCTCAAGTCTCGAAAATACATGCTTCATTCAAAAGACAGAAGCACTCATCCGAAAATCGTGGAGTGCGACTTGTCGCCCGACTCCGCCGGACGGACTGCTGAGCCTGATACCGGCCAGCTAACCATAAGTCTTCCATACGCAAGGGTCGGTCAGTCTTTCTCAACACTAAGGTACAAACAATCAACATTGATTGACTCGAGCAGATCATTTTTGAGGCAAATCCACATAAAAACACCATTAAATTCCAGAGGAGCTCAATGTATAGATAAGTAAAAAGTTAACACACTTGCGTACTAGCTTGACTGTTTCTTTCATTTAACTCCTAACCTCTTAAAGGTATATATGCAACATCACATGTATTAAATTGATTTTGATAGTTTATCTACTTCCTTCCCTTTCCCCTGGACATTAAATCAAAGCAATTGTTATGTCTAGCATCGTGGCGTCTCCCTTCTTTGGTGGGGTGTGGCTCGCACTCCACTTCCATTTGTACATTCGTCGTGGCAATTGAATGCGATTGGCCTATACAATGATTTGCGGGGGCCAGCTGATGTACACGTCAGTGTTATTTATCCCCTCTGGTACCATTTACCCGACTGCGGAAACGGTGGAACATTGTTGGCACGAATGACAAACCTAGACGAATCAATGCCCCCTGACCGCGTGCGTGTTAGGCAGCGCCTCTTGCCACTACACCACGTGAGCCCACTTCCATGCACAGCAAACGCAAATTTTGCCAATTTTGAACAGAACATTATTGAATAAATGATTCTGGGAAACTGATCTTGCAGGGGATGTCTTATGCGAATCGAGGATAGATTACTTGCCCAAGCATATAAAGAAATCAAAACTGTCTTCATGTGTCCGGGCCGCGCGAAGTTATACGACTCATTACAATAGCGACGAAGCCCTCAAAAAATGTCACAGCTAAAGAAATGATCGGCTGCTTGTTGTATCCATCAATTATCAATAATTGTCCATAACTATCATTTACTAAGCTATAAGCTATCACCACTAGTTGTCAGATTTAATTAGGAGGCATGCAACTTGTGAAGTCGGTAGAGCAGACTTCCTTAACTGCCAAATGCATAGAGTAGTTGACTTACCAGGAAAAGGCATTCAACCTTCCATGAAACTTTGAGATGAGACCCAGATATATCGATAGAGCTTCAAACGCTGATTACAAATATGGAAACTAAAACTGCAAAATGAACCTGCCAAGGAAGTTGTGAGCAGTCAAAGTTGCTGGAAGGCCCGGACGACCAAGGGTTCGATCCCCGGACCGCTTGCGTGGTAAACATGCCTCTTGCCACTACACCACTTCCGCCCTGATGATATGGGGTCTACCTTTTTTCTTATTTCAAGGAGAAAGATGTTGAACGAGAAGTTCGAAGAACGGGCGAGAATGCGCAACAAGTGGACTCAAACGCTATGTCAAAAGAAGGTAAATCCTGACTAGTTGAATAGGTTTCAATACCAGCACTTGAAAATTGCAAAAACTTTTCAGGTGGCTTCTGTTCAAGTCGGTGGCTCATATCCAATCCCGCATCTTCCCATTGAGCCCGAGGAAGACACACCTGGCCATTCAAAGTCTCGTATTACAACGAAACGGCTATACATTTACAATACCGGCGAGTAACAGAAGATCACCTCCGACTTGTGTATGTACGGAATATTTGTATAGAAACTGGTTGATCAAATCAACGGGTTGAGAGGAATCCGAGAATTCGAGAAGAAGAATCCTTGACAAAATTTTGTAACAGATACCTTCAACAGAAGGACAAAAAGTGAACACTCGGTGTCTGATAAGTCTGCTCGAAATGCGCCGTGCAGTCAACTTCTTTTGAAGATAGTTAAAGTATTGGATGATCATTTGCAAGATTACTATGCTCCTGACAAATTCATTACTTTACTTTTCAAGCAGTTGTTAGTAGTGATCTTTTCACGGTCTCCTAGATAACTACAACTATGTGTTGTTTTTCCTTCTTCGAAGAGCATGTTTGACCAATTTCAATTCATAGCAT